GGTATGGGTGGAGGTTCCCTAATCTGAAGGTGGAAATCCAAAATGCTTCCAGTTTCAGATTTCACAGTACTTAGCATTTCAATCCAGCCAAGTCTATGGAAATATTCCAAAATCCAAGAAACTCTGAAACCTGAAACACTTCTGGCCCTCAGCACTTCAGATGAAGAAAATGACCTGCATATATCGTTAGCCATCAGGGTCCACTTTCAGGTGACATCATCCTACAGGACATATGGTGTGACAGCCTCGCAATGGTGTGCTTTTTCTTCCCTCCTGGCATTTCTGATGTTGTTGCTCATTTTACTTTTACACATGTTGTAAACCTCACTCTACATGGTTGTTATTTTCATTTAAAAAGTCAACTAAATCCAGGCACAATTGTGCAAGGCTGTAATCCCAGTAACTTGGGAGGCTGAGGCAGGAGGATTGTAAATTCAAGGCCAGCCTCAGCCTCAGACCCTGAATCAAAATAAAAACAAAAAGGGTGGGGATGTGGCTTGGTGGTAAAGCACCTGGGTTCAATCTCTGTAGCAAAAAAAAGAAAAGCCAGTTAACATTTTTTTTTTTTTAAATGGTACTAGGGACTGAACCCAGGGGCACTTAATTGCTGATCCACATCCCCAGTCCTTTTTTATATTTTATTTAGAGACAGGATCTTGCTGAGTTGCTTAGGAACTCACTAAGTTGCTGAGGCTGGCTTTGAACTTGCGATTCCCCTGCCTCAGCCTGTTGAGCCACTGGGATTATAGGTCTGTGCCACTACACTCAGCACCAAATAACCTTTAAAAAGATTTAAATACTAAGACCAAAATCTGATAATTTTATCTGTATTTTTGATGCTTTTCATTGCTTTGGTGTAAATCCATATCTCTATCTGGTGTCATTTCCTTCTGCCTGAAGAATTCCCTTTAGTACTCCCAATGGGAAAAGCTCGTGAGTGATGGATCCTGTTAACTTTTACGAGTCTAAAGGTGTTTTTATATTGTTTCTTAAACATAATTTTGTTGGATACAGAATTTCAGACTGACTTTTTCCCTTTCATTACTTTAAAGATGTTGTTCCATTGCCTTCCAATGTGACGAGTTCCACATGAGAAATCAACTATCATCCTTCTATCTGCTCTTTTATACAGAACATTTCTTTCTTAAGCTCCTCAGACAGGCTAGTTGGAGAGGCACTATTCCGGTGCTGTGTAAGCAATGGCGGCTGCTGCTCTAATCCTGCTGGGTGATTCTGTCCTCAGCCCTGAGCCATCTCACAGGCCTGCGCTAGTCAGTACCAGCTGTATATTCGGGGATAGGGAGGTGGGAAGAGCTGCTGCTGACCTCTGAGCTCTCCCTCGGTCCAGTTCTCTTCTGTCCACTACTCCATCCTGTGAACTCTACATGCTTTGTTCCCGTTGGACCCTCAGCTCCACGCCTTCCACTTGGGGAGCTCTCTGGGCTCTACTGTGGATTACCCCTAGATGGTTCTTGGGTATGTATATTTCTGTCCTTCAATAGTAGCCCCCAAATTGGCAGCAGCTTCTGAAATGATGGTTTCTGACCCTCATGACCCTGCTGTCGACTTGCCTCAGTCCCCCTCCTCAGGCATGGCCTGGAAACTCTTTCATGGTAACCAACAGGGGCAACAGTAGGGTGGCTTATCTCCTCTTTCTGAAAGGTTCCCATCCTTCCTTGCCTGATGTCCATGCCTTACGAACTCCTTGGTGCGTGTCTATTGACCTGGTTTTGGTATTTGGGTCAGGAGGGCATACCTTCTGTGTGTTACTCCAACTTGGTCAGAAGTCCCCCAAGGCCAGTGCGGCTGGAAACTCAGGGCCTCCCAATTCCATGCACAGGGCACTATGCCGCTCTCAGACTCCCTGGCCTTCAGGACACAGAACATGTGCCTAGCACCCTGTCCCACACAGAGAGCTGGTCACCCTCCACAGTGACCCAAACCAGCAGTCATCAGCGCTGTCATGTGCTTGTGAGAACAAGGACCATGAAAACTCCAGCCATGCGGCTCACTTAATGATCAGCATCTAGAAATTTTTCTTTTTGTATGAAACCTCCTTTATCCCAGGCAGAGAGAGAGAAAAAGGAGTAAAAAAGACTAAAACATGATTTAATTGCAAAGTCCCACTCTATTTGGACCCTGCATTATCCACTTCACTGCTAAGAAGGTTCTTTAAGCATAAAAACATTATATTCCATTGCCTTCCAATGTGACGATTTCCACATGAGAAATCAACTGTCATCCTTCTATCTGCTCTTTTATACAGAATATTTCTTTCTTAAGCTCAGACAGGCTGGTGGGAGAGGCACTCTCGAAGCATTCAGCCTGACACCCAAAGAAAGCAAGAACTGCCAAAAGTCCTAAGAAACAGCCAGCCTGAGACTTTGTCATGACACCCCGACACAGAGCAATAATGGCATTCAAATCAGCCACCGAGCATTATGGGAACATCAATCTGTGGAGGGAACAACCTGAGAATCCAGAGGTTTCCGCAGAGCAGTTCAAGAGCAACCGCACAGGGACCATGAACTCACCTAGACCCAGCTGGGAGGGCTGGGAGCTCATCCACACCCCAGGTCCAAGGGAGGCCATGCAGGAGGGAGAGAGGGCCACTTTGTGTGTACTGGTGCTTAGGAGCCAATCAAAGGCTTTATCTCTTTCTCATTTCCAGATGCAGAATCCTAAGTATCAAAGGGGCAAACTGGGAACATTCCAGTGAGAATTAGATTACAGAGACTCTGGCCTTGGCAGAAGCCACCCCATAGCCTGGCCAGAAAACGTACTCCCCTGACACTCGGGCTTCTGGTGGCCACCGCAGACACATGCGGCTGAGCCGCAGCCCCACCACGTGCAGCCAGCCCACTGCTGTTGGGTAAGTGAGTCCCAGGAATGTTGTGCAAACAGTGGGCTGTGACACACTAAACAGAATTGATTTAATGCACCAGGACTGGCTTTTCTTAAAACGATACCCAATGGAAACCCAAGAGCACCTGACAATGGTGAAGCCAGTGCTGCCCACAAAGCTTCTTTTCCAATTTCATGTACGTATGCTTGTGAGTCCTGGGTTGGAATGAAAAGTGGGCCTATACCTCTGGTCATGGTCAAAGAATCTGAAATGCACTGGCCCAGAAACTTGATCATTCTCTGTTTGACTGCTGTCAGGAGTAGAAATGGCATCCCCTTTGTTTACAATGCCAATGCCATTTAAATACTTGATTCCAAGAAAACAATCAGAGGTTTACAAACAAGCAAAAAGTTAGGTACTAGAATATGTCCTATGGTGTCATTTAGCATAACAATAAAACTCGGGCATAACCTGAGGGACTGGTTGAATGAATTATGGTACATCCACGTGATAAGTGGTACCAGTCCTTAAAACTTGACCTAAAGGATCATCCTCATCAACTCTGAGATGAAAAGATTATAAAAACTTAAAAACACACATGTGCAGTGCATGGGAAGAACATGGTGTGAGGAACGGTCTGTTGCTTCTGAGGGATATCTCTGCTCCCCTGCTTGTGCTTTTCTATGTTTAAAAAAATTTCTATAATGGGCATTTTGGGTTTTTTGTTTGTTTGTTTTTGGCACCAGAGATTGAACCCTGGGGTGCTTAACCACTGAGCCATGTCCCCAGCCCTGTTTATTTTTTATCTTAAGACAAGTTCTCTCTAAGTTGTTTAGGAACTCACTATATTGCTGACGCTGGCCTCAAACTTGTGGTCCTCCTGTGTCATTGGGATTACAGGTGAGCTCCATCACACCTGGTGTAGTCTTTTTATAAAAACTAATATAATAACTGTGATTTTTAAATATGCTTTATTCAGTAAAAAAGCTGCCCCTCCCCATGGTGTTCACATTGGACAGCAGCAACAAACATTAAAGTCAGCAGGTGGGAGAGGCAGGACTGCACAGGGCTGAATGGTGAGAGTAGGGGCAAAACGTAAGTGCCGGATACACTCAGATTGAAGTAAATTGTACAACAGTTTCCCATCCTCTCCTCTTCCTCAAGCCCAGCTCCTACACTAGACACAGGACATAAAAATTTGTCCCCACTACAGTGACACAGCCACATCAATGTTCATAGCAGCTCAATTCACAATAGCGGAGCTACAGAACCAACCTAGATGCCTTTCAACAGATGAATGGATAAAGAAAATGTGGTACATACACACAATGGAGTATTACTGATGCCTGCAGTCCTGCTGGCCTCCAGTCCCAGGTCCCCAACCCCAAGCCTGCAGTCCAGTCCATACAGAGTCACTTTGGGTCCACTTTCCCACCAGCTCTGGGCTCCACAATGGCAGGTCCTGGAACTTGCGGGTTCCTCTGCTTTGAATTGTGCTAGACAAGGCACCCATCCTAGCTGTTCTTGGAGCCCTGTCCATTCCCAGAGATTCATGCTGGGCTTTTTCACCCCTCATTGCATGATCCAGTCTGAAGCCTGGGGCTGGGGACACACAGGGCAGTGTGGTGAGCCGTGTTTGTAGACCGTTGCCGCCATTAGAAGATGGCG